GGGCCCGACCCTCAGCCAGTTCCTAACCCAGCCCAGAGTGCCCCTGGCCAAGCCTTTTCCAGGAGTATCCCATGGAAGACGGTGTCCAAGACTGTGCTGAAGTCCGGGTAACACATCCACACCTTCCCTCATGCCCCAGGCGGGTCACCTGGTCAGGGAAGGAGCTCAGGTTGGTCAGACAGGCCCTGCCCTTGTCTCATTGTTGCTGAAGAACTTTCTCCAAGCAGCGAAACCGGAGCAGTGCCATCAAAACCGACCTCTTTCTTTCCAGGGATTTGAAAAGAAACGGCTCCGTTCAAACCCCTTCCGGTGTCCAGCCCTTCACTGATGGGCTGCATCCCTTTTTTTTTTGCATTCCTGGGATTGGGATTTCTGCTCTGTGCCTTGCAAGGATGTTTTGGTGTGGTCACCCATCTGCTACAAATGTTGTAGCAGATGTGATGGTACTTTTTTTGGGGGGAAAAAATCCCACAGTCCCAACCTAATTCTCTAGAAAACCTCAAGCCAGTGGGTTCAGGGGTTTCCGTGGATCAGGGACTTCTGTGGGATCCAACACAGTGACCCATCTCTGGGTTAGGAAGTCTTGGAGGGTGGAAATACCCAGTCAAGTTTTTCTGTGCTGTGACCCTTATATTCCACCTTTTCCTGGATTATTCCATACACCCGGATAGTGGGACAAACAGCTGGGCACAGCAGGGTGAATCCATGCTCTCCCATCCTCCTCCTGCTCAGAGGATGAAGGGGAAGGGAGGGAAGGATGTAGGGGAAGAGGAATCAGGACCCACAAAAAACACTCCCCCCACCATTTCAAAAATAGCATTTAAGGAAGAGGAAAACTCCCATTCCCCAAATCTGGGAAAACTGTGGGATCTGTGAGTGTGGGAAGAGCAGAATACCCCCGGGAAACAGGCAGGTTTTTCCCACCTGGAAGCTAAACCTGGTTCCTGTTTGTGTCAGGACAACAAACAAACCAAGCCTGGACTTCCCAGTTTACCCACAAAACTTGGGAGACTTTTCCTTTTGCTCCTCTCCGTGTTCCCCGGGAGCGTTCAGAGCTTGCCCAAAGAGCATTTTTTTAATTTTTATTTTTTTTTCTGATGCTCCACAAAAAATATTTGCTCAGCTTTTCCGGAAAGCACGAGGAAAAGTCGGAAGGAGAGGGATTCACCTTGCCCTGGGCTGCCGGAAACCGCTTTGCTCCACAAATCGTGGTGGAGAGGAGGGACATCGGAGCAGTGGGAGCCCAGAAAGGGGCACAGAGGGATTTGGAATGCGTTTAATTCCAGGCAGGAGTCGCCTTCCCAGACGTCTTTCTGTGCTGGAGGGATTTAGGGGATGGGGAGGAGGAAAGGGAGGAGGATGGAAGGAGATGAGGAGCTCTTGGAATGGTCCCACATCATGCCAGAGGTGGTGGGCAGAGGTCAGGGTGTGCTGCTAAACCCTCCCGTCACAGTCATGGAATGGTTTGGGTTGGAAGGGATCTGAAAAATCATGGAATTCCAACCCCCTGCCATGGGCAGGGATGCCTCCCACTATCCCAGCTTGCTCCAACCTGGCCTTGGACGCTTCCAGGAATCCAGAGGCAGCCACAGCTTCTCCGGGAAATCCATTCCAGCCCCTCACCACCCTCCCAGCCAAGAATTCCTTCCCAATATCTCACCTGAATCTCCCATATTTCAGTTTGAAGCCATTCCCTGTTCCTGTCCCTCCATCCCATGGATCACTGGAGCTGCAGATCCTTCTGATTTCTCAGTTTTCAGGGACATGGAGACAAATTTTTCCTGTAATACTGAAAAGTGCGAATTTTGACTATTAGGAATTTGATTGTTATTCTTTTCAGAGAATGTTCTGCAAAATTGAAATAATCATGGAATTGTTTGGGTTGGAAGGGAGCTTAAAGATCATGGAATTCCAACCCCTTGCCACGGGCAGGGACACCTTCCACTATCCCAGGTTGCTCCAAGTCCCATCCAACCTGGTCTTGGACACTTCCAGGGGTGGGGCAGCCACAGCTTCGCTGGGAAATCCATTCCAGCCTCTCACCACCCTCCCAGCAGAGAATTCCTTCCCAATATTCCACCTGAAGCTCCCATATTTCAGTTTGAAGGCATTCCCCTGTGTGCTGTCCCTCCATCCCTTGTCCCAGATCCCTCTCCAGCTCTCCTGGAGCCCCTTTAGGCCCTGGAAGGAGCTCTCAGGTCTCCCTGGAGCCTTCTCTTCTCCAGGTGAACATTCCCATCTCTCCCAGCCTGGCTCCAGAGCAGAGGGGCTCCAGCCCTTGAAGCATCTCCGTGGTCTCCTCTGGACTCAATCCAACAGTTCCACATATTCCTTGTGCTGGGGTTTCCAGAGCTGCTTCCTTGTCCCATAAATATTTCCTGCAAGTGATGCTGGATCTTGCCAGGAAGTCCTTTCCTGCAACAAGGCATAGGACAAGAGGGAATGGCTTCAAACTGAAGGAGAGTAGGTTTAGATGGGATATTGGGAAGAAATTCTTGGCTGGGAGGATGGTGAGGGGCTGGAATGGATTTCCCAGAGAAGCTGTGGCTGTCTCTGGATTCCTGGAAGTGTCCAAGGCCAGGTCGGAGGGGGCTTGGAGCAACCTGGGATAGCGGAAGGTGTCCCTGCCCGTGGCAGGGGGTGGAACTGGATGAGCTTTAAGATCCCTTCCAACCCAAACCATTCCATGATTCCATCCCACTGCAGAGCACCCCCAAACAGCTGAATGGCACTTTAGGAATTGTTGGGGTTTGTGGGAAAAGAAAAGAGGAGTCCA